TACAACAATGATGGGGTGCGAGTTGTGGATCGGACGAGGACGGTGTGTCGGCGTTGTTCGACAGCGGTGCGGTATGCTAGTGGTAACACGTCAAACATGCTCAATCACATCCGAGTCAGTCTCAGTCCCCAGCGAGAGGGTTTTCTCGACGGCAGGTGACATAGTTACCGCCAACAGATCTGCCCTCACTACTGACAACGTAGACAAACTCATCTTTTTGAAGACAAACTTAAAAATAGAGTAAAGCTTGAGTACCTTTATTTAGGCATAATGCTTACACTCACAAGTGAATTACACATGTTAGACATTGCTCCTAAAGGTACAGATCTTATTTTGTTTTATATTTATCATTGTATTTATTTTATATTTTGACATCAGGAGATGTTATACAGTTCTGTATTGCCTTTTATTGATTGTGATTGAAACATTTTCTTATTATTTTAATATGTTCAAGACATTCTTTTTAGTTGTACAGCTTATTTAACCTTTTTGTTTGACATCAGCCATTATAAATAATATGGCCATCTGTGTGTTACTGTTTGTGGTTTGTTTTTAACTGTGTAATACAGTTAATGATTCCAAATGTTAGAGTTCCTTGGTTTCATAAACTTGCACTACTGTTAAAAGTAAATGACAGCAAAAAAAATATGCATTTGGGACTTTTTTGGCTTGTTGTACCGAACCGTGACCCCCAAACCGAGGTATGAACCAAACCGTGACTTCTGTGAACCGTTACACCCCTAACAATTACTCAAGTATGCAAAGGTCAAGAATCCAAAGCTGGTTATAACTTGGTTGCAGACCTCACACACTTTCAACAAAAATCAATAGCTGACAAAAGACAGACGAGGTTCTGTGCATCTGCTTACTTTGAATATTCATATTTATTCATCTCACATCTGAAGTCTACTCCACACTTTCCTTGCCCACATGTCATGTATGGTTCTGTTTGCTGAGTCTTTATTGAATCGACAGGATGTTAGCTTTCAATATTCTCCACCTTCTGTTCGTGACTGAGTAATATGTACTTACACACTGAGTGACGGTTTCCTACCCCAGCTTGCAGCTCTGCTCATGCTCCCCTGCGGCTGACTGGATTTAAGAGGCAATGTAATCTGAGATCTGGAGGCTTTTCTGGATATGTACGGCCTTCCATGAGGAAATCTGAAGCCTATAAAGATAAGACATTCTTTGATATAAGCTGTGGTTTATTGAACACTTACTACAATGAGGGAGGCTGTATGTTTTGAGGCTGTTGTGACTCTGATAATGTGGTGTCAGGGAGGGTGATGTTTTTATGGGGCCCTGCATGACGCTGAACCATGTTATGCTCGCCCTCCTAAAAAAGGAAAACCAAAAGCCTTAATTACCTCCCACAAGGCTGCTGAAGTTAATTTCTGTAGTCACATGTTCAAGCAATTACTCAGAGTGTAATGAAGTGGAACTTGGCTCACTAGAGTTCACAGGACTCCCTCTGCATCCCTTTTTCCTAGCCTAGTTTGGCTATGCTAGAAGAATCATCACAACATTAAACCAGGCAATACTTCACTCTGGATGCATACATTTATCCGTGTCAATATCCATTCCTCCTTTAATAATGTCTCCACAGCTATCTCAATATCACGGGCTAGTGAGAGAGGCGGGGGAAGCGCATTATCTATGTCGGGGTGTTACAGTATTGGGGATTATCCCTGACAGATAGTTTCCCTTCCAGGCACCATTAGCTTGGCCTCATCCCATTTGGTATTTCCAACACCTGCGAAACACCATCCGCCGGGCACAATAATTATTACCATTGTATTTTAGGGTATATAAATTACACAAGCAACTACTTTACATTTCTGGACTGTGACCAAGTATCACATCCTCTCCAAGGATGCCAAGGGCCTGCACATCATTAAAATGGAGTTGTGCTATCCGACAGGAGGACAGTGCCGGCTCCCTCACTTGTATACCTCACGGGATTGTGGCCTCTGCATTCTCACAATATGCATAATGGGTACTGTCTAAGGCTAAATGCAATCAGGGTCCTTGAGTCTGACTTTGAATTCTAAATGAACATGGGACACGAGTTTGTGGGAAGACGGAATAAAGTTGATCAGCTTGAAAGTGAAAGCGGACGGCTGACTACAGCGAACCTAAATTAACATTGATCACTGGGCCGCACACGTACGCTAATGACTCAAGGCTGCAGGGGCTTGTTAGACAACCTCTGCAATGGACTGTAATGGCTCCCATATCCTTGCAATCCACTAAATACCAATGGCCAAAATTCCTCATTAAGCATCCTCATATTGGCAAATGATCTGTCTTGGATTCTCATGGATGTTAATGTAGATGTTTTCTAGAACAAATAGCTCAATTAGATCTATCTCATGAGGAGTGGATGACTCTCATTATACTGTAAGTAGTTTAAACTCAAATTCAGGAACAGAACATGACTACCAAATAAGTCTGATCAATACAAATAAGTTATGTATGAGTGTATACAGTAGCTAATTGTATCTGTCAGTCAAAATGAGAACACTTTCAAGAAGTGGGATTTCTAAAATGTCTATCCGAGTCTAATTCAAACCGCTCTGAGTTTCTGCGGAGCTTGGCAAGCGCATCTGAATTTAAAAACATATTGATTTGGAATTACTTACAGGTGCTGGCCTATAACAGAATTGATCGCGGATAGGCGTTTTGACAATGTCTGGAAAACATTTCACATCGATTTAAAAGTTTCTCAGAGACCAATATAAAAGGTCTGCTTCTAACTGTAATTGCCATATGAAGCTTTGAGTCCTTCACTTAGCACCTATTCATCCAGCACTGTAATCAACATAGCGTTATCTTTGACTCTACTGAGAACAGTACAAAAGAACGGTGAATTGAAAGAATATCTTGAAAGTAGGTCAAAGGAGAAATAAAAAATGCAGCTTTGTCTTCGTGTTACATGGATAAAGTTTCTTCACTGGCTTTCTCCGGAACAGGGCGAATATATCAACCCAGTGCATCTCATAAGGAGAGACATCAACCAAGTCTCTTGCTCCATCGATCCATCTCTCCATATTTGATTGAGACTAATGTCAAGACTGTGGGCAGGAGGACAAACACAAGGCCAAAAGGTTAAAACAAGTGGAAACCAAATCAATAATGATGACTGACAACATGAAGCGTGAATGATCCGTATTGCAACCTCCTCAGAATAAATAATGGAGAGCGGGATAAATCTACTTCACTCCCTACACCGCTAATGCGTTTTTCTCCCTTCTTCTCTTCGTGATGTTGTTCTGTTGGATCCATCTGTCTGATAAACTATTTATTACATGCACTGAAACAAAAGAAAACCTCAGGAAAAGAAATGTTGAGCATTTTGTGTTTTGTTTTAATGAAAGTTAGTAAAGTATGCACGTCTAAGAACTTTACATTGTGTGGCATTAGTCAAAACGTTGTCTGAGGGAGTGTCAGAGTTAAAGAACTGCTGGTGTAGCAAACATCAGACAACTTCATCTACTTCCAAACATTTTTCAGTGGAAATGTGCTTTGGAATTTAAGTTCTTCACATGCAATGACGGAAACCTAATAAGAGTGTCCCTGACTAAACAAATGATGTAGTCGAATCTCATTGGTGAAGTGACTCTGTCATCAACTCATCAAATCATGCTTTTCTTACTTACGTTTTCTCTAGCCTGCATATTATTCGTGTTTGTTATGGCATCTTTTACCCTAATTGCATTCCTGTCAATTTAGCAATCTATAGACAGAAGGGAAACAACACAGTTTGGTCCATGAATTCAAAATATATTCACTATACTCTGGTTTCCTTGTCTCAAAGTCAACGTTTTTTTTAATGTGTTTGTGGTTAGATTCCCTGAAATAAGATGTGTGGTTAACACAAGCTTTAGAGGTTTTCACCTTTGGTTCTATGACATAAAATGCGTCAGTAAATACCTGACTTGTCAATGTGTGAACCTTCTATGTTTCATAAAAGTGTTGGTTGCTCACAAGTGACTGAAAAAGACTACTACGCGTTATCATGTCAAACCTGCCAGTCCGCCTTTAGCCTAGCGGTGGTGATGGGCAGCCTTTCAACCATAGTGTAGTTTGTTTATAGCCAAACAATAGCTTTATACTTCTGGCAATTGCATTTACGCTTAATCGCAAAATGATGTTATGGTGTAATATGATAGCCAGCGCAAACGGAACACTGATATAGTCTTAACTTTGTCGTTGTAAGCCAACATTTCCTTATTGTCACAACCCGTAACATGATGGTTTGATTTGTTTAAGCCCTCATTGGAAGTCATCTTATGGCCTCCCCTCACTTTCATAAGGGAAAATGCAGAGTCAGATGATAGTTCTCTGCTTGAAATTCTGATTATAAAAGCTATTAACAATGGGCACCCAACACCTAGATGTGTTAGAGTACAGACTGCACTGTAACCTTAACCCATAGACTGCATTAAGTTTCATGTAATATTATTTGACAGTGTTGGCTAAGTTGTCTTTTCTAGTTCTAAACCAATGGCAATAGTTCTTGGCATCATGGTCCATGGTGTCGTTGTGAAGTGGTTTGAAGGATTTTCCGACTTAAGTGTATTTTTCTCATTCCCTGTGATATACAGTAGACTGTACATTAATACATCACACATTTTGCTAGAGTAAATATGTTGAACTAACAGTTTTTCAGAGAGCTTAGCGTTACTTTTGGCAGGCGGCTGTGCTCATCTGTTGCCGCTGCTGCGAGCACCTATTTTATTTGTTTGATGCTTGACTTGCTCCTGGGAGATAGTGTAGCAGCGATATGTGTACACTAAGCATCAGCTCCCCGGTATCAGCTGCTAGCCGGCCCTTCGGCATGGGATCTTGGCTCGGCTTATTTGGTTGGATGAATTATTAATGGATCACCGATTTTCCACAAATTCCAGCATTGTTCCTTTTTCTTTCCAGAAGGCTTGTTGTAGATGGCATCTCCTCATCTCCACATAACTCATTTGCCCTGCTTTTTCTTCCAGAGCCAAACGGAAAGAAGCGTCTGCCGGGGAAATATTCTACGCTCTCTGGACTGGATGGGAAGAAGGAGAATCTTTGACCTTGGAAAATGAAGATGTTGTTGCCATGGGAACTGTTAATCCTTCTGTTACTCAAAGAGTGCCTGGCTGGTAAGACGCCAAGTCAAGACGTTATTATACACCTGATATACATACATATAAGGCTGGGTGTCGACGATACCAGCACCAATATGGGTGCCCTTAACGTGATGGCAATACCAATACTGAATAACGTTTGGTGGCTTTTTTGTACTCCATGCAACAAACATCCATCCATACATCCAGCATACATGTGAATGGAAGAATTCATGGCGTAAGATGCCACCACCATTATTAAATAGTATTCAATTAAAATCTAAGGTTAATTTTCATCATGCAATAATGTTTCTAACTTCAAAACCAATATATTTTACTCTTAAAACCTGTTATATTAAAACAATTCTGTTCATTTTTATAAATCTGTGAGCATTTTTTATACAATAATAATAATAATACACTTAGAATTGAATATTTGGAGGTTTTAAAGTGCTATATAAATAAAACTGGATTGGAATATTTAATGATTGCCGTCTCAAAAGTGATCATACATTTTAGAGCTTTGTTATTTGGTGAACATGTAGTTTTTATTTCAAAACCTTGCAAATCTTTTGATTTTAATCTATTCTTAAAGGATAGGGGATCTTTTCAGGGTAAACAAAAGCCACAAAGGCAGACTTTTAAATTAATTGGAGTAGTTTCTGTTATTTAACAAGATGAAGTTCAAGTGAAACCGCCTTGTTTCATTCTAAAGATTAGTTAACTTCAACTCTGCAGCCCGACTTTAAACGTTTTCTTCAGATCAGCTCTGATAAACTTGACTCACTGTTGGATCTACATTTGAAGGAAGATCGAAGAGGCATTCACCATCTCTCCACACCTTCCTGTTTTACTATGCAATGTCCCTGCTTTATGTCCAACTGCTGCCACTAACATCAAATGTGGTAAGCACTATAAACATCAACAACTCTTTTCCTAACGCTAATTTATTCTGCACTCTCTCTCAGCAGCCGAGTAACACTATATTTCAGCTCCCTAATACATAGACGAACTACAGCCACGGAGTCCAAATCTCTCCAAGAGCTCTCACTTTATGTCTGAATACTAAAACCTCCACACAGTGAGAGTTAAAGATTTATTTTCAACAGTCACATTTAACGGATAAACTGTATACTGAACCTAAGCCAGCATTTTACAGGTCATCAAAATAAATACATTTAAATTCATACAGCAAATGGAGTGGGGTCTGTTGTGTTGTGCTTCTATTCCCATTGATTTAGCATCTCATCCCGAGTCAGCACTTTCACTGCGGGTGTGTCTGCGGCTGGAAACACACCACGCGAGAATGCGGTGCTATGCAAATATTAGCGCGTGCTGTATTGTACATACATATAGCTGCTATTGAGCTCACATTTGCATGCATTCCCATGAAAACTAATTTAGAGTCATTTGCATGTGTGTGTGTTTCGGTGTGCTAGCGGTCAGTCCAGTCGGGGTGTTTACAGGGCAGCAAACACACCATCCACCCGATCATTTCCCAGGTGAAATAGCCCGACTATTAAAGGCTCATTAATTTGTTTAATTTAAAGGACATCACGCGCAGGGTAAAAATGAGGCATCTCCCTCAGAGACAGGGCCCTTACCTGAAGCAAAAACTCCCACTCTCATTAGGATTATAATGGTAGTGCCCATGATGATGATGATGATACGGGAGGGAGCACTCTTTGTCCTATTCAAGGTTAGCAGCAAGAATTAAAAAAGCAAGCAGGTTCTTCAAGAGGAAAACACGGGCGTAAGGCTCGGCGTATGACACATGATGTTAGAATAACGGCAGTATGTGTGTCCATTGAAGAAATGTTGGATTCCACGGGGGTAATTAGTGCAACATCGGTTAATTACTCCTGTGTATTGATCGTTCTGCTGGAGCTAACCAAGTCAAGCTCGACTGATCACACACACACACACACACACACACACACACACACACACACACACACACACACACACACACACACACACACAAACATGCATACACGGCTTTGCAGGCTCTCTGATAATTAGATTATATCCATAGTACACTGATATTGCAACTCTCATGGAAATACCTTAACCATGTTATGCTACTTGCATCTAGATCATAATGAAATAAAGCGTAACTGAATTAGCCAGCTGGGTTACTTGACACTCTTTGTAATTCATGATGGCATGTAATAAAGCTTAGACCAATGTCTGTTTGTATTCTGTGCATGTACAGATAAGTTTACAGAGTAAAATGGATTGTAAAGCCCTTGCACTCCAGATAAAATAGTCCAATCTTAGCTTAGCAACCATACCAAGTACAGCAGACCTGTCAAGATGTTATTCGTACATGGCATTTATTTTATGCCAAACTATGACAGAGTTTGGATAATGTTCTTTTTGATAAAGTCTACAACACGAAAAAACACGAGCAGTAGTGTACAGAAAGGATTAAATCTTCCCTAACATAAGCAACGGTTAGCATTTTCTGTAACTAGCTTACCAAATACACACGGTTACCTCAAAGGCAAGGAGGAAACATTTCATTTACTTCCTACATTTAATGGCTAAATATAATGTAATATTATGAACTTGATGTATTGTAAAATGTGCTTATTTTACGTTAGCCAGGAACCATTCAAATACATATCTAGAAAAGCAGTCTCTAGTAGAGGATGCAAAAAGATGACAAAATTCACAAAAAAGCACCAAAACCACAAATTATAAAAGTGTTGTGTTAACACAACTGTTTTTTCAGTAATGTCGTGATATTTTGTAATGTTCGGTGTTTGCATTTGTATACGTTACATTTAAATTGTCTGGAAGGAACAAAATAAAAAAGTTTTACCAAAAACGACAAATGTAACGTAACGCATACACAGCCGTTGCAATCATGATGAATGGGGAAGGGATTTAGACAATCCATAAGTGCAACACAAATTTGTAAAACAAAACTTATTTTCCACTTCTTATTACTGTCTTTTTATTCTGACTAGAAGTATAAAAAAACATTTATTTCCGTATTCACACGTTATTTCTGTGAAAAATCATCCTAAATGTATATAAGATAACTTCATGACTCGTGTTTAAAGCTCAGTGTTATCTTTGGTAATTGCTCTCATCGCATCTGCCTCTTGACATGTGAACAAGACGGTTTATTAAATGCAGAATCCACTCAAAGTGCTGCGCTGGCAGCTAATTATATGGGTCTAGAGTAACATACAGCTTTCTGAGCACTGAGTGATTTATTTTTACATTAATTCAATGTCACTTGCACATCATCATTGTGCAGCTAATCCTTTTTCCCCCCACACAGAGAATACACGCCATGGTCCTGTCTTCACCCAGGAGCCGAGTGACAGCATTTTCCCCCTGAGTATTGACGATAAGCAGGTGTTCATTAATTGTAACGCAAGAGGAAACCCAACTCCTCATTATAGGTACGTGTTTTGCCTGCCCTTTGACCGTATATAAGGTGCAGTGTATGTGGAGATGATGGTACAAAGCATTCTTCTGAGCTGTGAATGATACCAGGCCGTGTTGCTGTATTAGCTTCATTTGCATTTCAATGTAGTCATGCAGCCGTAGTCGGAGAGTAATTATGTTTTTACCCATGGGTACTCAGTGGATTCAGTGGAAAGATTCATATATTTTGATGTTCCTACAGGTGGAAAATGGATGGGGAGAGAGATAAACACAGAGTCGGATCCGAACTTCAGCCTGGTGGAGGGGAACCTGCTGATCAGTGACCCTCGTGTCATGGATCATGCAGGAGTGTATCAGTGCATCGCCACCAACACATTCGGGACTGTCGTCAGCAGGGAGGCAAAGGTCCAGTTTGCATGTGAGTTTTAAGTGGATTTCCGTTCTGAAAATACTGTTACTGACATGAACTTATGACACATTTAATCAACTCTTTCCTCTTTGATTTGTTCAGAAAGTTTGCACAACTAAATAGTATAATGAAATATTCTTTCTAGGGCTGCTACATTTCATTTGTTGGTGCTTAATTAATCATAGACCATCAGATCAACAACCTAAAAACCAATGATATGAAGTGGCATAACAGAGTGGCCAAACCAGTGAACCCAGAACATTTTGAGAATACATGCTTTAACAATTTCTTAATAAATAATGGATCGTAAAAAGAATGTTGATCTGTATCCACTATTAAATAATCGAATGTGACTCTAATTAAGAAATTAAACGGTCTACTTTTTTGACCATGTACGTACAGTATGTATTATAAGTGTGTTTCTAGGAGCAACAGAGTAGTTAGTCTGTAAACCAACCACTTTGCACAGAGACAAATATCTGGATAAATGTTGGCCTGTCTTACATGCCATTTTCTTAAACTTATAGCACATAAACTACCCCATGGTACTCTCCTTTGCAAAACTAGTTATATATGCATGCTAATATGCCAGACATTATGCTCAATGGGTGCTAGTTGGGTTATAGATCTATCATGCAGTCTACAAAATTGCATTCCCAAACCACTAAACTGCTTTCTCAATCCAGTTATAGTACATAGAGCTGTACGTGTTATCACATGGTCAATGTTAAACATTTTGCAACATAACTACTTGGTTATCTTTAGTAAAATATGGTTTTTGCTTTAAATGGTTATGTCTGTTTTATTATTGACGAAGTACATTTTACTAATCAACAAGCGGCAAACAATTGACCCATCCATCCACCCCAAACGTCTTCTTTCTTTTGATAACTCAAACCAAACGTTGCTCTAGAAACTAAATTGGCCATGCAGGTTTGTTGTATGGGAACATTATTTTTAGGACACGTCATCTGCTCTCGCCAGTTTTTTTTGGGCTGCTGTATTCATATACAATAAGCTTCGTCTCAGGAAAAGCCTCCACTGCATTATGAGGCTGAGAGCTCTGGGTAGGGCATGAAAATGTGATTGTCGCATGTCGGGGGCGCGTGGCGCAGTGGACTAGTGCGTTGGTGTTCGGATCAGGGGGTCACAGGTTCAAACCCCACTGCAGTCAGCATGTCGTTGTGTCCCTGAGACACTTCACCCCAAATTGCTCCTGTGGGGATTGCCCACAGTATTGAGTATGTAAGTCGCTTTGGATAAAAGCGTCTAACAAGTGACATGTAATGTAATGTAATGTAATGTCATAATAGTCATAATGTATTCTTTCTGAACACACCTTGTATCCAAGTGTGCCATCTCTGATTGTATGTCAATCTGCATGTCTGAATTGACACTGTTACCTCTTTTACTAGCGCAGTGGCTTATATGAGGAAATGAGGACTGAATAGGCGCTTTCACACCGCAGTACTTTTCCCACAAAGGTTCATTTCATTTCAAACCTTTATTTAGACAGATAAATCCCATTGAGATCATTGATCTCTTTTTCAAGGGAGACCTGCTCAAGTAGTTCCACATGAAACATAAATAGAACAACAAAAGGACATCATACAGCATCATTTACATAATTATCATCAGAACTTAGTTCATCAGAACTCTTTAGTTCTCATGAACTAAGTACAGATCGCGTTCACACTGGAATAAGTCCCTGAGGGTGGATTAGGCAAATGAAGCTGCTGACGTCACTTCTTCTTCTTCTGCTTTGGGTTTACTGGCAGGCCGCAAACCACTTCACGGCGTATACTGCCGCCCGGAGTCCCCGGCCGGAAGTCCCCGGAGTTGGGGACTGGCTTCAGTAGAAGCTGCTGGGAGTCCCAGCAGCTTCTACTGAAGCCTTCCGAGTAAATCTTCAGAATGCCGACACCTCCTCATCTCCACCGCTCCCATGGTTTCTGTTGTGTTGCCATATAGTCTCTCTGCGTTTCTGCGCTGGGCTAATGCTAATGATGCTAATGCGAGGATAATAAAATGGCGGCTTCACAAAACTTTTTGGGAGTTTTACGGGGCGTGGTTTGCAATCCGCCCAGCCAATCAGACATAGGAACCTTTTTCTCCCACGAAAGCCCCTGCTCTCTAGCAGAGACTGAAAAGGGGGTGGAAAGGTTCTCATGAACTAATTTTAATTCCGGATTTTTTTGGTGTGAACGCGACATTTTCGGAACTATATCGGAACCAAAGTGGGAAAAGTACTCCGGTGTGAAAGCGCCTAATAGAGGAGACCCAGATAATGAAACCACAAAAACAATAAATCATCCCAGTTTACCATAATCATTATGGAGCACATGTTTTATTTTCGAATAACACTGTGTCCAGGCAAGCTAGTTATTGTTCTCCATCTACTGCACCATATGTAGTTTAAATGTAATGTCAACAGCTGTTGCAGTGGGTGACATTATTGTCACATTGTCACAAGTAAGAAGGAAATTACATACCTAGGATCTATTCTTGAGGCAAACCTCTCCTGTGACAAAATGGCATCCAATGTAATAAAAAAAGTCAATCAAAGAACTAGATTCCTATACCGGATCTCCTCTCTGGTAAACAAAAACACCCTGAAAACTCTGGCAGGAGCACTCATTCAAGGGTACTATGACTATGCTTGCACGTCATGGTACCATAGCACCTCCAAGGCGCTAAAAATAAAACTTCAAACATCGCAAAATGAACTGGTCAAACTACTGCTTGACCTTTCATCTAGAACCCACCTCACCTCTGCCCACTTTGACAACCTAGGATGGCTTAGAGTAGACGACAGAGTACAGCTACTTGCAATGGGCCTGGTCTACAAGATCCACTACACCTCTATGGTACCCATGTACATGTCAAAATTCTTCCCAAAGGTCAAGGAATACCATGATCATAACACCAGAGGGAGCTCCACAAATCATGTGAAACCCAGATTTGGCACAAAAAAGGGGGAATACACGTTTCGCAATTATGCCACATCAAGGTGGAACGCTCTTCCCACAACTGTAAAGGAAAGTAAAACTATACTTACCTTCAAAACCTCTCTTAAAGAGCACCTTCGGGGGAGAGCATTGCAAAACTGGCCCCGGTAATGGTACAAATCTCAACCTGTCGTTCAATGGACAGCTTCCCCCCCCCCATCTATGTATATACTCGCATTTTAGACTCTGTTACTAACTGTATATCTGTAGACTTGGTATGTCTTAAATGTCCGGTTAGGATGTATTAGAACGAAATCTAAAATGAAAATTGTAAATAAGCCATCTGTATGTAAAAAACCACCTGTATGTAAATTGTAAATAAGCCATCTATATGTCAAATATGTCTTATATGTCTTAAATGACACGATGAATTGGAAATGGGGGACCCTGATGTAAACAAGACGAAAGTCTTTCTCTGGTCTGCATCCCCTTAACAATTGTATGTTTTGAGCTGTACTGTACTGTACCCAATATACAAGCTGTTAATAAACTTTTCAATCAATCAATGTCCAATAGAAACCTTAAGTACTCCTCAGATTGATTTACGAGCTAACTTCCTGGTTAATACAGACTTCATGAAGCCATATTCTGTAATTTGTAGGATTTATTATCCGACCAGTTTTGATTTGACCACAGCTGATATTTGCTCGGTCCCTCCTGGTATTTAGTTGGGCTTGTAAGACTCGGGGATGGATATGTCTTCCCACTGTTTATTCTCTCACGCCGCACAGCAGCATTTCATTAAAGGTGAAACAAATCTCTCGGGGCGCTTTGGTGCACCCTTTGCCAAATCACCTGCTTTCACTGTGATAGAATCAGACAGAGGAAGTGTATTCTGCAGAATGAAATGCCCTCCCTGGATGTCACCTTTGAGTTATTTCAGCCGCAAAACAGTGAAAAGTTGTGTTTGTTTTCTATCCAACAGTTCTGCACAACTTTAGCATGAAGTCCAGGAACACGGTGTCGGTGAGAGAGGGTCAAGCCGTGGTTCTTCTGTGCGGGCCTCCACCCCATTACGGAGGTACACTCCTAACTCTTCTTCATTATCTGCTGTCGTCACACACTCCTGCTTGCGGCAGCAGTCTTTATTGTTCCTCACTCTGCTGCCTATTATCTCCCTGTAACATCGCGCTGTGTCTCTTTTGTTTTTATACCACCTTCCTCTCTGACACGCTGCTTTTCTACTCACTCCGCCTTATCGGCCAGACTTTTTATGATCAGCCACCGCTCTACCTGCCCAGACTCATGCCTTCACATCTATAGTTCATAGCCTTGCACTTCTTAACCTTGAGCTCACTTCTTCTTCGCCCATGTGATCTGTGACCGTGCTGTCATCTATAAGGTTTCCACTTCCTGGAACTGCCATTTTTCCTCCATGGCTGTGGGCAGGTTATCCGTGGGTAATAAAGTCAGCTTGTGGCTGCTGTGGCCGGGGGAGCGTTTATCCCGTGGCACAGCTGCGAGTCGGCTCATGTGTCTGTGTGTTGCTGATTAGCAGACCCTCAAAGTGGTCCGCACTCCTGCAGCCATTCGGTGCCCACCAGCGCAATTTCACGCTGGAGCACCAGCCATTCTCAGCTCCCTGTTGCCAGCCGAATCCCCACGGCCACATGGGGAATCCACTCTTTAGCAATGTTTCCCTCCAGCCTCCCCATCCTTTTAAAAAAGCCCTTCCTCTTTATATGTCTCCTCTTTAAACACAGCATTACCGCACATATTATGGGATTAAACACCACATGATAAAGCTAGCTTGAGGTGAAATTGAAAAAGGGTGCCTTTAAAGGTCACCTATTATGCAAAATCCACTTTTCCATGTCTTTTATATACATATGGGTCTCCTCTGTGTTTAGAGATTCTGAAAGTTTCAGGAAAAAAGACCCCCTCTCTTTTTGTCCTGATCCATTTATATAAAAACCTGTCTGAAATAGGGCTGCTCGATTATGGCAAAAATCATAATCTTGATTATTTGGGTCAATAATTGTAATTGCGATTATTAAATGCAATTATTCTTTGGTTTTGAAAACATCCATTTATTGGAGAAAAACAATGTGAACAGTATGTTTTTAACAGTTGATTATCCTGAACTTTAAGTTTAATTCAACTGAAAAACCCAACAAAAAAATGATACAAACAAATTAAAATAAAAGTAATAATAATAATAAAAAAATAATCGTTTTATTTCGATTACGTTGTTTTCGTAATCGTTGCAAGCCATAATCGTAATCACGATTAAAATACGATTAAAATACGATTAATTGAGCAGCCCTAGTCTGAAAGTTTGCTGATCAGATTCTGGCCACTTTATGATGTCATAACGTTTTTGGGGGTTTTGTAACCTTAGCCGATAACCCCCCCCCCCACCTTATCACCTGATATCTCTCATAGGGGCATGGGGAGTGGTGCCTTATTTTCATCTAAAGTAACAGACAGAGAATCAGCACTTTGGAAACAGGGCTGAAACAGAGGGGATTATGGGTAATGCTGCAATGATCTGTTTGGTGTTTCAGCCAATCACAGACATGTTTTGTATATATCTGAGACCTATAATATATTGATGAAAAACCGTATAATAGGGGACTTTAATGCCTTGTTGATGCACCACTCGAGGAGCACCTGAGTAAAAAAGGGAATCATCTGAAACTTTTTTGTGCAATCAATACGTTAGTGGTCTAAAAGGAGCCGTGCTGAGAGTTAAACTCTTGTCAGAGGACGTTAGATTATTTGCCTGCGAGTCCTCAGAGACTGCAGCTCTTAAACAGACCGGTCCTAATCATAATAGCTCTGTCACTTTCTGCCCTGACTTTTTCCCTGTAATGATTCTAATTCACTGTTTTCCCTGAAGGAAGCGCGCAGGACATTGTTACCGTCTGCCCAGTGAAAAGGGCTGACTGCAGAATGTCATGTGTCTTGAAAACACTAATAGCCTCTGATCTCCCAGCAGACATCTCTGCCTCGCTGTCTCCCGCTGTGTCTGTTCCACACATTCTCATCATTCCCTTCTTTCCTTTACTCTGACACGAATCCTCCTCGTTAGTGTGTGTGTGTGTGTGTGTGTGTGTGTGTGTGTGTGTGTGTGTGTGTGTGTGTGTGTGTGTGTGTGTGTGTGTGTGTGTGTGTGTGTGTGTGTGTGTGTGTGTGTGTGTGTGTGTGTGTGTGTGTGTGTGTGTGTGTGTGTGTGTGTGTGTGTGTGTGTGTGTGTGTGTGTGTGTGTGTGTGTGTGTGTGTGTGTGTGTGTGTGTGTGTGTGTGTGTGTGTGTGTGTGTGTCAAGAGTTAAGGATCAACTAGGATAGATAATGCCTGCACTATCTTAAACACAGACTATGATAAAGTTAGCACCGTATTTCACCTTTTGACCTGCTTTTTAAATACCATTGTTGCTTGATGTTCCTAGCGTTGCTTCTTAGTCAAAGATAAGGCGAGAGTTATTCTGTTTTTCTCATTGTGTACAATTCACATAAAAAAAAATACCATTACACAAACTGTTAAACCTCGGCATTCAGATGGAAAACGGCGCTGTGTTAAAAGGCGCTAGGGGCTGATTTGGTGGAGGCTTGCTGTTTCAGGGACCAGTGAGACAATGAAATAAAATCCAGGAGAGCAGGTTTGAGTAATAGATCCATGAGTTTAAAGGCTGGTAAGGTGCCAACACACTGCCATTTGCTGTAAACTCTGTGTTTTAACATTACTGTGCAATCATTTAATTCTCTGCTTCGACAATTGGGAAATAAACAACAGAAATGCTTCGCCCACATTGAAGAATAGTCATGTTCATTGCAGGAGGAAGTTCAGGTAGCTACTTCTTTTCAGCATGAACCTGATCTTGATGGAGACCTCTGTGTGGTGGTCACCCCCCCGCTGAGCAACACAGCGGTGCAATTCAGAGGAATAAGGGAGTGCCATTATTTCACACGGTCTGTCTGAACTCTACTTTAGTCCATCTCTGACTTCCTGACTCATTTCCGAGCCAATTCATTCCTACTGAAGACTTTCGGTTTGAAAAATGGAATGAAATCTAAAGGAGGTTTTGGTACAGAAATACATGTGGACAAATTCTCACTTTGTTTACTTGTTAGTATATCTTGAATTTCTTCCAGCTGTTAACATCAGTTGTGTAAGCAGTTTATTGCATAGCATGTCTTCCTTACAGATGAGCTGTGAATTGTAGGTGCCGTAGTTAATATGACGGTAGCAAACTAGGACTCCAAGTGATGTATTATAGAGAGCAACACAGTCTGGATTGAGAGGATGTTAAAATAAATGGGTCAAATAAACAGGACTTTTACCCAGGAGACTCATGTTTGCATCCAAAAGTCAATGTCGACATATTTGACCATACATACGCTAACTTTAGTAAGTTCATACATAACATTCTTATCGTACCTAAGTAGCACACTTGCTTATTGAAGCCAAAATCATCTTGCTGGTCAGGCTTTGGCTACCCTAGAAATACATTTTACAATCCATTCATTGATGATTTTAGTATTTTTTCTTAAATAATAATATTAAATATCACAAACCTTATTCTTTGCAGTCACCTAATATTTATATTTTAAGCCGAGGAATATAATATCATACAATTTATTTGTAAAACTATCTCTCCCTGTATTGCAGGTCATTTTGGGAAGGTCACTGGATTCTGTTTTTACACCCTGTCCCCTTTTTTTTTCAGAAATCAAATATTCCTGGGTTTTCAACGGTCAGCGGAGCTTCCTGCAACAGGACGCCCGTCGCTTTATCTCTCAGAGGACAGGCAACTTGTACGTGGCCAAAGTTGAAGCCTCCGACGCGGGGAACTACACGTGTGCGGTGAGAAACATGATGACCAACGCCACAGTGCTCAGCTCTCCAACCCCTGTGGTGGTGCGGAGAGACGGTAAGCCCCCTCGGTTCTTCTCCGCTGCCTCTTGAACTGACACGCGAGCCCGGGAGATAAATCGCTTGTCTCGAGCGTGACAATGTTTTTGCTTTTTGTTTACGAGCTATGTTTTTTTGCAGCTCTCGAAACCTTGGAACTATACGGGGTTATGTCTTCAGCATGAAGGCACATATTTACATAGCAGGAAATGTAGTCCTAAATGCATGTAGACACACACAGCAAGCAGCCCGCCTCACATACTAACCCCCATCAGGACCGTTTATGTGAACCACTTCAGATTTGAGCTGAGGGAGATATGTAATCCGAACTCATCCATCCGCCGAGCCAAACGCTGTTGTGCACGATGCCAAGGCGCTCTTGGCCAGTGTAACTCGTGCCACGTGCAATATGAATTACAGGAAACTGCATGTCCGTGTCCTGTATTTCGACTGATGTGATTTGCATTTATCCTTCCTCTTAGTGATGGGCGAATACGAGCCAAAGATTGAGGTTCAGTTTCCCGACACCCTTCACATCTCGAAAGGATCATCAGTGAAACTGGAATGCTTCGCCTTAGGAAAGTAAGTATCAGGAACATTAGCACACTGCATCTCTCCCCCCTCACACGGCATTGTCACTTTGAAGTGTTATTTCGTTCAAAGTCCAGGAGTTAGTTAAAAGTAGACAAGGAAACTCCTCGGAAAATGTAAGGGTATTGATTAAAACGTTCACAGCTGGTTCTGAAATGAAAAACACCAGTCCATAGACCACTCAGAGCAGTTAACTATCTGTGGTGCGAAGAATGAGAGAGAAACTATTTCCCCCGTACATTGTCATTTATATCATTTTGTAGTCTTCATAGATCGGTTGGCGTCGACGGGGCGGGTCTTCTTCTGTAGTCTTGCGGTGACATAGTCTCGGCTCGTCTCTCGCGATATTTCTCATACAATTCTACTTATGTTTATAGGTCATACACACATCATAATAGCGTCAATAAGTGAGAGGTAAAGACGGTGTGTTTAGTGTGTAACTCCACGCTTCCCGGGGAGAAGCACTGCTTCAGTAAATAATGTACTTTAAAGTTCCGGCACATATATATTGATTTATTTCTTACAACTTTTTATGAAGTTGCCAGACATACTGTTTCACAACAAACGGACTAGAAACAATTGTCATGGCAGTCCTTTTGGTCAGTGTGAGCAGGAGCATGTGGCCATCGTGACCTTTTGTGTGTGACCTCTGCAGCCCGGTGCCTTCCATCTCCTGGAGAAGAGCTGATGGAAATCCACTCCCTGGAAAGATTAAAATCAACCACTCCAGTGGGGTTCTGGAAATCCCATATTTTCGCCCAGAGGATGCCGGTGTGTACGAGTGTGTTGCCGAAAACAGCAGAGGACGAAATGTAGCCAGAGGGCAGCTTCTATTCCAGAGTAAGAGCCTTGTAAACTTTTGTTTCCTGTTTTCACGGAGATGCCTGCACAACTTCTTTGTAATCCATAGATGGACAAGGACTTTTGAATAATTTTGAAATTAATTGAAAGCTACTTTCTAAGCTTAAATTACATATTTCAAGATTTTTCTTCAAAAAATGACTTTTATTTTTCATCTTGCACCATTTGGGTTTACATTTATACATAATTAACTCCGTATTATACTGTTATTAAACAATGTTAAAATCCAAATGACACAAATAAAGCCAATATTATTCCATATTACACCATTATGACATCCATATTACACCTTTTTTTACACACAAATTATTACACCATTATTACCGCATTCTTTCACCCAAATAAGACGCAAATAGTACCAATATTACACATAACACCATAAGTACACCTATATCACACTCATAAACACACCTACACCTTTTCTGTACCACAATACACTGTTATTGCACCGATTTTACATCAATATTACACATTGACAACATCTGTCAAATTATTGTATCCGGTTTAATAAATAACTTAAAGGGTTAATCCAGAAATGTAGTGTTTGTGTTTTTTTGGACGGTAATTTAAAATGCTTGATTATGAGTTTTAGCCAAACAACATGTAGTTATTTTGTATTCAGTTCGTTACACTGTGATGTCAATATTTGATCATTTATTTTAACCGCTGCATTGAGGTAATAATTAGATTAGATTCATAGGATTCAAATGTCAGGGTATTTTGGTAACTTCCATACAATCAAATAAACCAGCTTTGAAATGAGTCACCGTTTGCTTCGGTGAATCTACACAACTGTGTTCTGTAGACAGAGGGACGAGAGAAAGTCCTCTGTTTGCTGAACTTGTTGATATCGACATTGAAAGATGAGTTTTGGCTTTACGTTGAATAACTTACCTGCCTCTGATTCTATAGCATCTCATGTCAGATGTGCAAAACATGAAGGCGTAAGAGGTTGTTGACACAAAGCCATTCAAGGTGCTTTAGGTCCTCAATTCAAAGCAGATAAGTGATATAAACCTTACTAACAAATCCAAATGAAATAAATCCTTCTTTCTCCCAAGGAGTTCAACTGCAGCATAAATAAACAGACTTTTGCAATCTTGATGCTATAGTTTATCGTAGTATTTTGCAGCATTTTAATTTCTGCTTCAAACTTGCTGCTCTCAAATCCTTGAACTGCACCTACTGTGCAATGCGTATACAATTGTATAAAATAAATTCAAATAATCCTTGGCCTTACAATTGTGTACATCTTACCCTTGCCTTGGCTTGCCTTGCCTTGCTTATTATGCCTGTTTTTAAATGCCTTTTTAATAATGTATTTATGCTGTATTTGTTCTTAAATGTCTTTAGCTTTTAATCTGTAAAGCACTTTGAATCGCCACGTGCTGAAAAGTGCTATATAAATTTGCCTTGCCTTGTCTTGTCTTGCCTTGCCTTGCCTTGCCTTGCCTTGCCTTGCCTTGCCTTGTCTTGCCTTGCCTTGCCTCGCCTTGCCTCGCCTCGCTTTGCCTCGCCTTGCCTCGCCTTGCCTCGCCTTGCCTTGTCTTGCCTTGCCTCACCTTTCCTTGTCTTGCCTTGCTTTGCCTTGCTTTGCCTCGCCTTGCCTCGCCTTGCCTCGCCTTGCCTCGCCTTGCCTCGCCTTGCCTCGCCTCGCCTTGCCTTGCCTTGCCTCGCCTTGCCTTGTCTTGCCTCGCCTTGCCTCGCCTTGCCTCGCCTTGCCTCGCCTCGCCTCGCCTTGCCTTGCCTTGCCTTGCCTTGCCTTGCCTCGCCTCGCCTCGCCTCGCCTTGCCCTAAACATTAAAGCAGGGAAAATAGGACAGAAAAATAAGAGGAAACAACAAAGTCCCTATAGTTTAAAAACAGTTGGGTTTATTTTACCAAATAATGAAGTTGACCTCTTATTGCATTATATTGGTAAAACTAAATCGAGCTGCAAAATATGTTGAAATCTTTTTCGATTCATATTTACGTGTTGGTATTTTTCACAGATGTTGAGCATCTGCACTGGGTCCAGACACTGAAAGATGCTCATATGGCAATAGATGCTAATCTGCAGTGGGAATGTAAAGCCAGTGGGAAGCCGAGGCCGGCGTACAGATGGCTGAAGAACGGTCAGCCGCTGACACCAGAGGTAACACTGCACAAGTTATTTTGATTTTACACACACCTTTTTTATTTTTGCTCTCCTTCAGCAGTAAATCAGTAATACATACAGTAGTGTTGTTAAAGCTACACTGACAACCTATAAACCAAAGGATTATATATGTATTTTTTTTAATTTTATTTATCTGTTTATTTATTTGTTGTTTTGTTTGTTTTTCAATAACAAATGTATTTCTTTAAGAAAAAAAATAAAAATATTTATATATGTGTTAATAATGTAGTTGTTGGGAGAAGGGTGGGATTAAATCAGTGTACACATCTTCCCCCTTTTTGGATGTGTAATAAAGTAGATTATTTGTTTATACATAATTTAGAATCAGTAATATTTTTGTATATCAATTTGACACTGCTTAAAGGTGGGGTAGGTCATTTTGGAGAAACCAGCTGGAGTGCGCTAGAATTTGAAAATACACAGCCGGAAAAAATCTGCCCCTTCCTTACAGAGCCCCTCCTCCAACACACACGAACGAGCACATGACCAATGAGGGCACGAGATAAATTTGTGCACAGATTGAAGGCTGACAGGCAGGTAGGCCATCCAGTTATTTTAGCCGGGCCGGCTCACATGATTGGTCGAGCTTTTTACAGTACTACGGCTTCCACTGATGACATTTTTTTATGGATTTTTTGTCAAAGCACTTTAGATATTCATTGCTATCGGGATGTTAAGAGCATTCCATGGAATATAACAACAAGTGTATCTCGAGCCGGTTTCTCAAACTTACCTACCCCACCTTTAATTTTGTATTGTATAATAATTATCATGTTAAATGTTTGTATTATTGTTTTACACATTCGAAATAAATCAAATCAAATATAAAAAAACCTTTGAATGATGACCTGATGACCTTATTCACAGGGGAGGATCCATGTGGAAGATGGCAGGCTGACCATATCCAGCATCACTCTGTTGGACTCGGGGATGTTTCAGTGTGTGGCAGAAACTGAGCACGGAGCTGCCTATGCCAGCGCTGAGCTCAAGGTTGTTGGTAAGCAGTTTGTTTTACAACCATTTGAACCAGAGGTAGAGATATACTGTACACATATTGTGTTAGTGGAACGAAAGTGCTTCCTGTGTAAATAAATAATAAGAGGCTGCTCTGGCTTTTCACTGAGCCATGGCCTCGCTTCTTCATTTCCATAATTCTTTCATACAATAAGGCCCACTGGTGGCGAAATAACATTTCCGTAATTGCTGGTGATGCACTTGACATTTTTGCTGATGCACGGCTGTTGCCCCCTCCACGAAGCGAGACAAATGGCCTTAAAACACGGATCTGTTCCTCAGCCTCCCCACCGGACTTCACCCGACGGCCCGTGAAGAAGTCAACAGTGATGCAGCGGGGGGGCGAGGTGGTGCTGGAGTGTCGCCCCCACGCTTCCCCCAGGGCCGCAATCTCCTGGTGGAGAGGGGGGGAACTCCTCCAGGGGGGCAAGAGGTAGGGTACTGCATGCAACACTGTTTATTCAATTGATGGCATATTGTCACCGGCTTGAGCTTCAATCTCAGGATCCATGTATTTGTGATCCTCTCCAGAATGGAAGTAGTCATTACATACAGAGCATCAACTAGTTCCTGAACAGTGTCCTTCACATGCTGATATCCAAGAGAGGGAGTTACACAGTCACAAGATGGAGGAATAGAAAGCAGTATTCAATGTTTACTTCAGATTAGCTCCACGTCAGAAATGAGCATGCTTGTCATATGTCTATCTCCATAGAGGCTGAATCATCATGTTAATCACATAGCTGTCATATGCCTAAAACAGTCCTGATGCTCTTCTAGGTAATCACACATCCTGTCATGTACACAGCTACAGTTGGGGTACCTTTATTATCATGTGGACTCTCATATTGGAAGAGTACATTCAGTACTTTCCCAACACGTATGGTAAAGAGCTTTCTCATGTGGTCATTTTCATTACTAGAACTCATTGTTATGTATGCCTCTGATCAAGCGGACTTTTCAAGTGAGTAACAGAGCTTTGTTTGGTTCAGATAGACACTTTGTTCTTTCATAGAGTAATATGTTGGTTTTCTGTTGACACACAGTTTGTCCTAAGCCTTTTTCACTGGATGGAAGAACGAGGCCATGGCCCCTACTCAATCAGATTTTTTCAAAGCGCAAGATAGAGAGTGCAATATGTTTTAGCCGCTTGAAACTTCAAAGTGTCTCACAGTTTCACGGCTCTGCAAGATAGTCAAAGTGCTGGATATGGAACAGAGAACATGTAGGCACAGTCTCTGTGTGAAAACCACAGAGAGAAAGCTATCACACGAGAGCGAAACTCTACCTCAGTCTTCATGACAGGCCAGACCATGTCATGATTTAAGCTCTGAGGAAACTCAAAGGAGCTAAAAGAAACCGTTTGTAGTTGCACTTGGCCTTAGCAGGGACTTACACAAAAGGAACCAACAGAGTTCAAGCACAATTGCTGCTTTCTTAAATGTTTGGTGAAAGAGTTTGATTGTAAATGTTCAGGTCGGTTTAGAGAAACAGGGTTTGTCTCGGTAAATGCTAAGTTCAATACACATCTGAATCTGGAGGGAGAAGCTGTGAGAATGAAACAAGATGTTGGTACCGGAAGCGTTGGATTTGGTTACCGTTTGTAGTCCGAGTAGTTTTGACCAATTGGGACTTTCTCTATCAAAACCAGTCGCTTCGACCCGAAATACATTTTGGTGGTTAAAAAACCCAGTTTTGCTGCTTTTCAATGATATCTTCACTGTCTTTGTTCGCCAAATAGTCAACAAAATAAGATAACATGACGGCTGTTGCAACGACACAATTATGAGAAAAATGTCTCAAAGTCTACAGACTAGTGTTGTCACGATACCAACATTTTGGTTTCGATACCAAGTCAAGAATTGCAATTCCGAATCTTTTTCGATACTTTTCTTAAAAAAAGGGAAACACTCTTAAATGTAATTATTGTGCTTTATTTCACACCAGAACCAGAACACAAACTTTAAAACAATGAGAACAATAAATAAAATAAATGACAAGAATTCGTATTAAATACAATTAAGCATTATCTATAAACAACTTTTTTGTTTTTGGCTTCTGGCGTCTTTTTTGTCAACAAGCCGAGGCGCAGCGGCATAACACTCCCACTTGCAGCCATGCTTCTCGTCTTCTCACATGCTCTGGCAGCTAGTGCGTGCACGAGAGAGGGGAGGGACTTAGAGCGTGCACGAGAGAGGGGAGGGACTTAGAGCGTGCTTGAGAGGGGAGGGACTTAGAGCGTGCTTGAGAGGGGAGGGACTTAGAGCGTGTTTGAGGGGGGAGGGACTTAGAGCGTGCTTGAGAGGGGAGGGACTTAGAGCGTGTTTGAGAGGGGAGGGACTTAGAGCGTGCTTGAGAGGGGAGGCACTTAGAGCGTGCTTGAGAGGGGAGGGACTTAGAGCATGCTTGAGAGGGGAGGCACTTAGAGCGTGCTTGAGAGGGGCGGGACTGCAGGCACGGCTGCAGTGCAGGGAGTGGAAGCAGAGCGCTGAACCCACACGGCTCTTATTAAAACAGCGCTTTCTCACCGGAGTACTTTTCCCCGCCATTCTTAAAGTACCGATACTAATGAAACGGAGGAATCGTAACGTATTTAACGGCAGGGTATCGCGGTACCTTTCAAGTATCGGTACACCGTGCAACACTACAGACAATATTATTCAAGTTAATTTAAAAGGTGGCTCCAGGCTTATATTTGTATTTATTAGATGGAGCTCATTGGACAAAATATTGGAACCCATTGGTTAGCGTCTTATGACGATTTAGCTTTAATTAGCTCTTTTTTTATATAGGCATTCGTATGAAGATACTGTATCTGCTTGGCTCCAAATCCATCGTCAAAAAGCGAATAGTACTGATAACATTGCCCAACGCACTGAACAAGAAGTCTTGGCTCTTACCTCATTCACACCAACGCAACTCCGGTTCAACCTCCGTGCTAGAGCTTTTCAGGTTCAGAACCGGTTCTTCGGTTTAGCTCCGGCTCTTTTCACACCGCCCAGAGTCCGACTGGTGCGTCATTGCGTCATCGTTTGCGTCATGACGTAACCGTTTGTGTGCCTGCTTCATAAAGCCAAACCGCGCGGAAACCCCTCACAGCTCACACCAACAACAACAACAACAACAATGGCCGATTGTGTTGAAGCGCTACTCGTTTTGGTTTTGCTCTGTCGAAACGAAATGGAAGAAATGGGACCAACTTTACATGCTACATTCAAAACTGCGTTACAATCGTAATCATCAACTTTAACGACGATTCCGATTCCCCCTGCCCCCGCCTCGACGTATGCAGTGTTTTTGCTCTAGCCGGACAATTTGTTGGTGTTTGAAACGAACCGGATTCCGGAGCTAATGGGCTGCTCCGCTGCGGTGTGAACAGGAAAACACGGTGCTTTTCAAGCTCCAGCTCCGAATCGGCCCTGAAACACTGTTGGTGTGAATGAGGTATATGATATCCTTTACCTGGAAACACAAAAACAACAATGTCAAAAATCAGTGAAAATCAGAACCAGCAGGAATCCACTTGCAGCACTGTGGGGCTGAAGGCAGATCCGACCCTCTTATAGACGCTCAAGACGCTGAGATCAACCCCCAATGTGGATAATATTCAGCCTAATTAAATCAAATGGGAGCTTTGTGGTACTTTTTGTCCTGCAAGGACAATAGTGCTGCAAATCAACAGACGCTCAAATGAAAGCCTTTTATGTAAAGAACCATCGTGAAGCATTGTCAGGCTCCTGCCGTATAATTACTTTAACAGCATCAATTTTCTCTGAGAGCCTTGTTACTTCGTTTTATTCAAGCAGCAACTTTAGTAAGTTAAAACAACTTCCTCAGACAGGAGACTTTGGAAACGGTAAATTAGTCCGATGTCTGAGATCTCTTCTTTTTACTCGAATGAACACATCTTGAGCTTGCTTGTTTGAAACATTTTGTCAATTGTTGCTACTCTAAGAAGATTGTTGTTTAAATAACAGGTATTTTAACCATTACATTAAAACAGCTTCCTGTGAAAGGAATCATATGTAAGTAATATGATTTTTAGCATGTGGATCATCAGCAGTTAGATCAGGGGTGTCAAACTCAAGGCCCGGGGGCCCAATCTGGCCCGTGACTTCATTTTCTGTGGCCACACAAGAGCTTGCGAATATAATATGTTTATTATACAGTTAAATGATGATTTACAGAAGCACGTTGCCCATAAACTACATGTCCCACAATGCATCTCAAATTAGACTTTTTCTCAGAATTTGACTTTTTTTTTTTAATGTTTCTTTCTTTTTAAACGTCACTTCTGTTTTTTTATTGTTTTCCAGAATTTGACTTTTCTTTTTAAATCATTTTGTGACATGCTCACTGAAGAGACTTGCAATTATTTGCCCCAGACTTCTGCTTTCAGACGTAGTTAATTATGAAGTTATTACCCTATCTGGTGATAATCCAATGCCGAGGCAATAATGTAATATAATACATTATTTTATATATATATTTCTATATGTATTTTTATATAGTCTTAAAGTTACAACCGGCGCTTTGAGTGAAGCCATAATGCTGATGTGGCCCGCGATTACATAGTTTGACACCCCTGAGTTAGATGGTTTATTAACACACAGTTAAGGCAAGGTTGTAAATGTCAATACGGAACCAGTGATACTATGTGAAAAGTCATCAGCCTTGTAACATTTAGTTATAGGGCGAGATTAACTTGCAGCCTCCATCTTGGATGAAAGCTTTCAAATCAAATCAAGTTTTATTTATAAAACACATTTAAAAGGTCGAGCCAAAGTGCTGTACATGTTATAAAAACACATTACTACAATCACAATAAAAGACAATAAATTACAACAGATATATAAAAAACACAGGGAAAAGTCAGGAGTCGTGCTCCGCTCTGACTAGAAGGCCAGGGAGAAGAAGTGAGTCTTTAGAGTAGATTTAAAAACCCCTAGGGTCTGGACCGACCTCACATGGAGGGACAGAGTGTTCCAGAGCCTAGGGCCAGCTGCTGCGAAGGCTCGGTGACCTCGGGTTTTGAGCCTGGTCTTAGGCTCTATCAGCAACAGCTGGTCAGCAGACCTTAACGCTCTGGCTGGGGTGTAGCTCTGGAGGAGTTCGGCTATATAGGCCGGAGCCAGCCCATTTAGGGCTTTGAAATATATGTTTGAAAAACTGAAGTATTTGGCATAACTTTAAACTGTAGCCACTTTCATTAAAACATTAAAGGTGGAGTTAAAACTCTGCAGACAATTGTCACTCGGTCAACACAGTACATCTTGTCTGTGGGGCTATTATCAGCAGCTGGAAACAAAATGGAGAAACTAATAGTCAGTCGTAAAGTGAGTCAGTCGAGATGAGTTAAGATGAACAAGCAGTGGAAAGGAGGCATTAGACTTTTTGAGCTGAACCCACACATAAAGGTATGGGAGGAGTGTG